ACCACGTTTTGTTTAGTTGAGCCGACTCTGAACAACCTTCCGCTCACACCTGCATCCTCCGATCCAAACAATTTCAAAGCGTGACGCCGAATCACTTCCTTTTTGGACACCGCGAAAGTAGCTCTCCGCCACTAGCTTTCGAGCAGAACTTCAATCATCGAAAGCGCTAGGTCCAAGCGCAATCCTATGCAAATTCCATCTAGACTCGTTGGCTCCGTGATTACGTACCAATGCTTAAGAAACGTGCGAAATGGTTTTCTTCTCCAGAATCATAGTTGAAAACTGGAGATCTCGTTTGGATGATTGAGGAAACTAGTTCAAGAGGCCATAACCCGTTAGCCCGAGCCCAGTCATTGAACTATGGCAACTACGGCATAGCAAGGTCCGCTGTAATTAGACCGGCAACCGGCGAGAACACACGTCCGATCGTAAAAATCGCACTCGCTCTCGCTCCTTTGGGGGCGGAGGATGTTAGCGCGTCTAATTATACGTCGGACGTGTTGTTTTTTTTTTTTTAGAAAAATTGTCCCCCCCCCAAAGTGGTTTCAAGTTGAGAATTTTCGACAAATCAAAATCGGGTGACTTCTCATGCAGCGCGTCCTAATTTTAGAGCAAACTAAATGCTGGGGTGGAGCATCGTAACTTTTTCTATTTGAGAGAAGGGGGTTGGGAGAATTTTGGGATATCAGTTTTATCCTAAAAACTTGTTTGATATTAATGAGATTGCTCAGTAGAATTCAAAAACTGGACAATGTTAACATCCTATCTTCCAAAATTGTTTGGAGGGGGAGGAGAATGTTAACTTGGTGCTATTTCAATTTTCTTTTCGAAAAACCGCCCCCCCCCTAAAAAATTTTCTCTGCACGCCACTGTGTAAAATTGTAAAATGTATGCAATTCTCGGACATAAATCTGGGTTATAAGTTTTTGTTTTTCTCCAATTTTTTTATTATAATTCGAATCATTAGCGGTAACAGACATATCTTTAACTGCCCATTTTTTATGGTTTTTTTTTGCAAACTAAATATCATAGTTTATAAATAATCCTTTACAATTTTTTTCAAGAACTCATGCTATTTCCTCATGTGTCTATAGTCTGTAGATTATTTTGTTTCCAATTTTTAAATTATCGAAGTATTTTAAGTTTTGTTATCAAAATTTCAACATTTTTTCTCAAACAATCAGATTCATTTGAATGCTGAAAATGATTTATTTTGAATACTTGTTTAGAGTTTATGATTTTCATAAAATGATTTTCCTATGCGATTCTTTGTCATGATTAACGCTAATTATGAACTAAAATAGCCTAATTTTTAAAAAGCATTGTTTTAAGATGAAAGCAAGGACAGCCGGTTACTGTGCAATTTGCAAGTTCCGACCATAGTCTTTAAAAAAACTACAAGAGTAAGTTTTTTTTTAATTAATTTTTCTGCGTGGGTTGATGCAAAAAGTCTGAAATAAACTATACTTACAGGCAAGTTAGACAGAAATGTTTTTTTCTTAGAAAAATGACTGAAAAAACAAAAATAAAAAAAATCTTCAAAGGGTTTTAAAAAATTGTTTTTCAAATCTTGTTCCTGAAAATTTTCCATTTTTTTTTTGAAGTTTTTAGTTCCCAGATTGGAGCTACGAAATTCCAACAGTTAATTTTTCTTGCTTAAGGTTAAATTTTTAGGGATTAACTTTATACTAATTAAGCTGTTGAATGCCCGCTTTATTCGCTCGAAGTTAGACGAAAAATCAAAAATTTCAAACCTGTTTTTCTCGACACTGAAATTTTTTTTGAAATTTGAAATGTCGTTCGCATCACGACTGAAAGGGCTTTATTATGATATATTTATCAGCCCAGTCCCATGATTATTTGTGATAGGTGATTTTGAGTGGAAAACAAAAAGAAGAAAAATTGAAACACACCCCGAATACAAAGTTCATCCCCATTTTCAGCCAACGTTTCAGCCAACGTTTTAGAGCAAACTAAATGCTGGGGTGGAGCATCGTAACTTTTTCTATTTGAGATAAGGGGGTTGGGAGGATTTTGGGATATCAGTTTTATCCTAAAAACTTGTTTGATATTAATGAGATTGCTCAGTAGAATTCAAAAACTGGACAATGTTAACATCCTATCTTCCAAAATTGTTTGGAGGGGGAGGAGAATGTTAACTTGGTGCTATTTCAATTTTCTTTTCGAAAAACCGCCCCCCCCCCCCCTAAAAAATTTTCTCTGCACGCCACTGTGTAAAATTGTAAAATGTATGCAATTCTCGGACATAAATCTGGGTTATAAGTTTTTGTTTTTCTCCAATTTTTTTATTATAATTCGAATCATTAGCGGTAACAGACATATCTTTAACTGCCCATTTTTTATGGTTTTTTTTTGCAAACTAAATATCATAGTTTATAAATAATCCTTTACAATTTTTTTCAAGAGCTCATGCTATTTCCTCATGTGTCTATAGTCTGTAGATTATTTTGTTTCCAATTTTTAAATTATCGAAGTATTTTAAGTTTTGTTATCAAAATTTCAACATTTTTTCTCAAACAATCAGATTCATTTGAATGCTGAAAATGATTTATTTTGAATACTTGTTTAGAGTTTATGATTTTCATAAAATGATTTTCCTATGCGATTCTTTGTCATGATTAACGCTAATTATGAACTAAAATAGCCTAATTTTTAAAAAGCATTGTTTTAAGATGAAAGCAAGGACAGCCGGTTACTGTGCAATTTGCAAGTTCCGACCATAGTCTTTAAAAAAACTACAAGAGTAAGTTTTTTTTTAATTAATTTTTCTGCGTGGGTTGATGCAAAAAGTCTGAAATAAACTATACTTACAGGCAAGTTAGACAGAAATGTTTTTTTCTTAGAAAAATGACTGAAAAAACAAAAATAAAAAAAATCTTCAAAGGGTTTTAAAAAATTGTTTTTCAAATCTTGTTCCTGAAAATTTTCCATTTTTTTTTTTGAAGTTTTTAGTTCCCAGATTGGAGCTACGAAATTCCAACAGTTAATTTTTCTTGCTTAAGGTTAAATTTTTAGGGATTAACTTTATACTAATTAAGCTGTTGAATGCCCGCTTTATTCGCTCGAAGTTAGACGAAAAATCAAAAATTTCAAACCTGTTTTTCTCGACACTGAAATTTTTTTTGAAATTTGAAATGTCGTTCGCATCACGACTGAAAGGGCTTTATTATGATATATTTATCAGCCCAGTCCCATGATTATTTGTGATAGGTGATTTTGAGTGGAAAACAAAAAGAAGAAAAATTGAAACACACCCCGAATACAAAGTTCATCCCCATTTTCAGCCAACGTTTCAGCCAACGTTTTAGAGCAAACTAAATGCTGGGGTGGAGCATCGTAACTTTTTCTATTTGAGATAAGGGGGTTGGGAGGATTTTGGGATATCAGTTTTATCCTAAAAACTTGTTTGATATTAATGAGATTGCTCAGTAGAATTCAAAAACTGGACAATGTTAACATCCTATCTTCCAAAATTGTTTGGAGGGGGAGGAGAATGTTAACTTGGTGCTATTTCAATTTTCTTTTCGAAAAACCGCCCCCCCCCCCCCCTAAAAAATTTTCTCTGCACGCCACTGTGTAAAATTGTAAAATGTATGCATTTCTCGGACATAAATCTGGGTTATATGTTTTTGTTTTTCTCCAATTTTTTTATTATAATTCGAATCATTAGCGGTAACAGACATATCTTTAACTGCCCATTTTTTATGGTTTTTTTTTGCAAACTAAATATCATAGTTTATAAATAATCCTTTACAATTTTTTTCAAGAGCTCATGCTATTTCCTCATGTGTCTATAGTCTGTAGATTATTTTGTTTCCAATTTTTAAATTATCGAAGTATTTTAAGTTTTGTTATCAAAATTTCAACATTTTTTCTCAAACAATCAGATTCATTTGAATGCTGAAAATGATTTATTTTGAATACTTGTTTAGAGTTTATGATTTTCATAAAATGATTTTCCTATGCGATTCTTTGTCATGATTAACGCTAATTATGAACTAAAATAGCCTAATTTTTAAAAAGCATTGTTTTAAGATGAAAGCAAGGACAGCCGGTTACTGTGCAATTTGCACAGAATGTTCCGACCATAGTCTTTAAAAAAACTACAAGAGTAAGTTTTTTTTTAATTAATTTTTCTGCGTGGGTTGATGCAAAAAGTCTGAAATAAACTATACTTACAGGCAAGTTAGACAGAAATGTTTTTTTCTTAGAAAAATGACTGAAAAAACAAAAATAAAAAAAATCTTCAAAGGGTTTTAAAAAATTGTTTTTCAAATCTTGTTCCTGAAAATTTTCCATTTTTTTTTTTGAAGTTTTTAGTTCCCAGATTGGAGCTACGAAATTCCAACAGTTAATTTTTCTTGCTTAAGGTTAAATTTTTAGGGATTAACTTTATACTAATTAAGCTGTTGAATGCCCGCTTTATTCGCTCGAAGTTAGACGAAAAATCAAAAATTTCAAACCTGTTTTTCTCGACACTGAAATTTTTTTTGAAATTTGAAATGTCGTTCGCATCACGACTGAAAGGGCTTTATTATGATATATTTATCAGCCCAGTCCCATGATTATTTGTGATAGGTGATTTTGAGTGGAAAACAAAAAGAAGAAAAATTGAAACACACCCCGAATACAAAGTTCATCCCCATTTTCAGCCAACGTTTCAGCCAACGTTTCATCAAATTGGAGCTCACGAAAATCAAGTTTCGTAAGACTGGTCCAAAAATCGGAAAAGTCTAGCCCATTTTTTGATAAAAAAGATAGCTCATTTGACTTTTAAATTCTAAACGCGGCTTCCGACAGTTGTTTTAAATTATCTTACATTTGATCCTAGCGAGCTTTCTTTTAGGTGGTCAAATCAGGCGAAAAAATTCCCCATACTTCAAGAAGTTGTCGGAACAATGGGCTGATTGCTTTCTTTTTTTATTTTTGTTTCAATTATGTTTAGTTGTGACAAATCACTGGAAGTTTTATTGCTTTAGCCACCTACGTGACTTACGATGACGGCGGTTTGTCGCTGGCAGAAGTAGGGGATCTTTCCATTTCTGGGAATTCCGAAAAAGACGCCCTCTGTGTTGAAACGGAATTGCAGTTTTTAAGGAGAATGTCACTATTGTTCCCGTGTTCCTCGGGCACTCGACGGTCCCAATACATCTGTGTTGTCGACTTCTGAAGATAAAAAAAATTCAAATCCAGATCCTGCAATAAATGTTAACTGAATCCCGTATCACACTAAAAAGTAATGAAATTAACAATGTCTTGTAAATGTTATAGCCGTTCGGTCGCTTTCATTCTTTTTCTCAAACTGAAATAGACTTTAAATTTGAACCATTGATTTCAAAGCTCTAGATCGCGTTGAGTAATTACCATCAGGCGCGGATCTTGGAATTTCTCGAGGGAGATTTTCAAAAAAGAAACTGTTTTTTAGGTCGACCAAATTGATTTTCTAAGCTCTCCCAAACCATTATAAACACCCTAACTTGACCAATTTTTTCTGCACCGCAGGCAAAGTTTTGGAAAAAAGGCCAAAAAAAGGCGTTCCTAGGCACTTTTTGAAAAATGTCGACCAAAAAATCGCGTTTTTTTGTCGCGAGATCCCCCCTCAAAAAATTAGTTTAGATTGGCGACGAAGGCGCTTTTAGAAAAGTTTTAAGGTCAGTCAGCCAAAAAAGGATATCTCAAATAGTACAAAGGGGGACCCTTTGTGTTGGCAGGGGGTCGAATCCCTCAAAGGAGCGTCCGCCCACACGCCCCCCACCCCCCAAATCCGCTACTGATTACCACGCATACAATACTTGAAAACAATCGGGACATATTGGTGTAAATTTCATCGACTTAATCGTAAATTTCATCATAAAATTCGTAAAAACTCATTTGTGCGGGTAAAATCGTTAAAGAGTTTTCTGATTTTGTTTCTGTAAAAAGTCAACCTTGTTCACTGTAAAAAAGGCAAGTAAGCTGTAGTGTGAATGTACGGTTGACACAATATCCGCATTTTTTTTGCAGTTTCATTCCTTTTCTCACTCGCTTATCTCACCCATTCTGCTTGTATCTTCTGACAATTAATGATATTTCTTCTCTCTCCTGAGCTAATTTAAAAAAAGTTCCTTGAGTTGTTTTGCCAAAAATTTAGGAATAGCCAAAAACAGGACTTTTTTGAGCGGACCAAATTTCCAATTAGAGAGATAAATCTTGACCAAGAAAAAAGCTTGACTCTGATTAGATAGCGAGATAGAAAAACCTTTGAAATATTTTGTCATTTTTAAAAGAAAGTTTGGGGAAAAGCTGCTATCTTACATTTTTCTCCTAAGAAAGTTGTAAAGTTGTAAATTGCCTACAACTTATAATAAGTTATTCAACAATTTTTTTTGTAAGAGGTCAACCGGGGCCGTTATTAATGGTTTACGCTGTTCTAACGCCCCCTTCCTCTCCATTAGCCGTTATGACATAACTTTTAGGGTGTAACCATTAGTACTAGGTATACGTTGTAAAGTGTCGGTGCATATTATCATGACAAAACGAATAAAACTTGAAACTTGAAACGCAATTTCTCCAATTGGGTTGAAATTAGACAAAGTTGAAGGGAACAAAACTTGCGTATTACTACCTGAGGGAATATGGCGCATATTAGTGCAAATTTTGGGCCTAAAAATTTATTTCAAAACGACCATTTTTGACTTTTTTAGTCAATTAAAAATACAAAAGAACAAGACTGCTCGTATCAGGGCGAAGCCCTGAATGTTCCGACTGCCTATTAAGGTTTATGGAGCAGTAATAACATCGAAAAATTAAAAGTAATAAAACAAAATGAATTTTTTTTTTAATTTGAATTTTTGTAAATAAAAATCATCCCCCCCCACACGCCATATAAAGTACAAAAGGATAGATTTTTGCCTACTTGTAACAAATCAATTATGACAAATAAGCTTCGTTAAACCAATTTGGGACGATTTTCTAGGACTGATTAACTCTCCGCTTACGCGTTAATAGCGCGAAATATATCGCGCGTTAATTGTCCCAAATTGGCCAAAATGGCAATCTTTAAACCCCCATAACTTTACGAAAAATGATCACAGGTAAAATATCTTTTCAAAATTGAGCTCAGAAAAACAATACCTTTCGAAAGATATTAAAAAAATTCCGTGAAAAATGGCTAGTTAAAAAAGTCGAAATTTGTCTGAAGAAAAAAAAACCCACCCCCGAGCACAAATATTCCGTTACTTTCGTATCGTAAGTCGGAACAACTACTGAATCAATTGCTGTCAAAAAATACATAAAAGTGAGCTTCTGAAACAAAATTTATGAAAGATATAATCTCTAAAACGTTTCTGTTGAGTGAAACAATTGGTTCATTGCTGACAAAAAATAAACCAATAATAAACTCTTATATAGCCCAACAAGACTGCTCGTATCAGGGCAAAACCTGGAGTGCTCCAACTGCCAATTAATTGGTCTCAAAATACTTTTGGTATTTGAAATACTGGCAAACTACTAAATTTAGGCTGATTAAAATTTTAAAATTTTAGTCTTTTATGGAATTAATAAGAGTGAAACCAATTAGATTACCTCAATTCAATTTTGGATTAATTATGAGTGCCGATAATTTGCCGCGCATAAATAATTTGCGTATTGAGGCAAACTATCAAAGTATTATTCTAACCAGCAAAGCCGCACTTTACTCTCAGGCAAGCGTGATAAGTAGATTTCCGGATCGAAGACCATTGCAGTCAATTTTTTCTAAAATCTGTCTGAAAAAAAAAGCAAGACTGCTCCTATCTGGGCGATGCCTTGAATCTTTTGACTGCGTTTTGAGGTCTATGGAGCAGTAATAACATAAAAAAATTAAAAAGGGTGACGTAAAAATCATCCCCCCACAGGCCATATAAAATTCAAATTGATAAATTTCGCTCCTAGCAACAAAAAACTTCATAATAAAGGCATATAAGCTGCGTTCAACCAATTTGGAACAATTTATGAGCAGGATTAAATCTTCGTTTACGCGTTAACAGCGCGAAAGCGGGACAACAATAAATTTTGAATGATATAAAAAAAATTCCGTCAAAAATTCCTAGTTAAAAAAGTCAAAATTTGTCTGAAAAAAACCCACCCCGAGCACAAATATTCCGTTACTTTCGTTA